TGGCAGTGGAGGGATGGGAGAAGACAAAGATGACAGCAATGGCTGGGTTAGCTTCAAAAATCATCCCTCAACATGACATAATTCACAAGGACTGTTGATATTGACCTCAGATTTATTTCTAGTAGGACACCACAGCACCTTCTTTAACTTTATCACACAGTCCAATCAGTTGTATAGGCAGGGAAAACAACACTTTTAAGTCAGTAACCTTCAGTAAAGTAACAGAAAAAAGCTTGTAAAAGTATCTAGAAACAGGGTCAGAAGCCTTAAAATAAATAGTTAAGGTTATTATCAGATTTCTGTCAGCCTATGTTGATTGCCAGCCACATCTGCAAGATTAAAATGTGCTACAAGATCACAATGGCAACTTTTGGCTTCCATTTTGCTTTGAGGTGATCAATGTAGAAAACAAAAGCAACAAACTCTTGACTTGGTGGACCATTTCAAAAACTACAGTAACTTTCATCAGAGCTGGCATGTGGTCAAAGCTATCAATAGCTCTCAGGATCATGATTCCTTTTAACTCGTACAAATTTAATCTCCTAACTCTGAAGTTATTGCTTCATTGTAGTTATGTTGCTACTCTGGTCCCTTGATAAAGTAACTGTGAAATTTCACAGGAAATGTAGTACTGAAATGCTTTGCAACTGAATTGTTGAAATAAAAATATATCTGTACATATCAAGCTCTTTTTTTCTTCACTCATTTTCTTATTACACTTACTTAATATAATACTAAATGAAGCTACTGAACACTGGTTCCAGAAAAAAAAGAAACCCTGGAAGCAACAACATAAGGTTACCAATTTCAAGAAGAAATATCTATTTTCTCTTTTGTTTTGTTCTTAATAATCCACAGAAATGATCAAGAGGTCTAAATATCATAAAAGGAAAGAAATTAAAGCAATCCTACCTACAACACCGTTGTTTATGGTACTATTCTTGATTTCCCATTTGCTAAGTATTCTTTGGTATTTGTGCTTGTATCTCATTTCCATTTTTCTACCAATTTTTCCATCAGTAAGATTTAACTAGTAGTGATTTTGCAGGCTTCCAATAACAATTTTATTTTCAAATTGCTTCCTTTGCTATACTAAAACAAATAACCACTATTGTCCTACAGTCTTCATTTATCTTTTACTTATTCTGTGCAGCAACAAAATAGATATTTATTTTATTATTTATAATTTCTGAGCATTCTTGTCTTTACGTAATTTTGTTTAGAGTAGCTATGTATGCTTAAGTGAATATCAAGTTCTTTAGAACTACTAATACTGGGTATTTTAACAAATTGTTGAGCTGATATATCAAGCAATACATTTACTTAACACTCCTATAAAAGTTCACATATAAATAAATACATTTCTCCCCCCATCTTTGTCTTTTCTTAGAAACACAGTAAACATTTTCCTTTTCTGGTCTAGCTCTTCAGCAGCACAATTCAGGAGTTCAAGGTTTAGCAACCATCCAGTTTTAGAAGCTGCTCTTCCTCCACCATTTTTACACAGAAGATTCTAATTACATTATTGAAATCGCTAGAAATATTAGTGCATGAAAAACACACATTTATATCCAAATTACTGAAGCTGCAAAGCTAGGAAACTTTCTCACATGAAAGGTTTCTGGAACATCAGGAAAACAATTCCCAGACATATCCAGCTTTTTATGTGCATCAATGAAATCTTCATACGATGCACTGAAGCATTTCAATTTTTTTTAAATCAGCTTTTCACACAGCTCCAACTCTCAAATATAACTATGACTTAAAGGTATAATGAGAGCTGGTTCCATATAAACACCATGAGCACAGAGTCTAGCATGTAGTTTATTGTAATTAAGACCAGTGATTCAATACCTATTGCTACTGGCCAGGTATCATAGCAACCTTGTGTCACTGAATGCTGCTGGAAAACTGTTCAGCACTAGCAAGACTACGCTTCAGGAAAATCTACAATGGCACTACAGATTGTCAACATCTGTGGGGGTTGTTGCAGGGAGAACAACAAAGAAATCTGCTTTAAAAAAAAAACCCTATACTTAGAAAATTGACAGGGATACTACAGTGGCACTACAAAAAGAAAAAAAAAAAAAAAAGAGGAAAAATTGACCATTTTTTTGTCATTAGTTACACAACTTATGCACCCACGTCCTAATAACCATCCCAATAAACTGAGAGTTGAAATAAGGCTGCATGATCACATTAATGCATTTCCACAAAGTACTATCTTTTTCTTTTTAACTAAACACAAGCATCATTCATCACCAACATGACTCTGAAAATAAAACAGCCTCACTTTCAAAATAATATTTAAACTTTCACAAATGAACTCTAGATAGTTTTGTATAAATCTGAGGAAAAAAAAGAAGAAAAAACAGGTTACTATGAACAAGAACCCAATATTGATTTTTCTGCGGTGCAGTAAAGCATCTCCATTCTATTTGGCTGCTGTCAAAGCCACTCTTTAACAGCTGGAGTCAAATTGCACTATTTACAGCAAGAGCCCTTGTCAAGTGGACCATAAGTATTCTAACAATACACTATTCAAATGGCACTTTGCCACACAAATTGCTGACTTGATGAATACCCTATGTCAATGACTAAGGCCAATATAAAAGTTTCATTTTTATGAGAGGTTTTACATTCACGTATTAAGTAAAGCTTTCTTGAAGAACTATTAAGCTATATATTTTGGGGTCTTTTGACATTAAAAATAATTAAAATCTGTTTAAATATATCAGGGGGATTTGACAACATTAATATGGATCTTGTGTTAACTGCATTTGTCACAGTCATCTGTTATTGGTACTCCCACTGGCACGTGCTGCACAATAAAAGAATTAAAATGGTCAAAACACCATGAAATCAAAACATTCTGCCTTTGTATCTGTGATTTACATGATGGCAAATGTTTTGAAAGAAAGGCTTTGAAGTTGGACTACTATGTGACAATATCTTTTTTCTTAGGATTGAGTAGAGAGAGACCATTATTTTGGAAATCTTCTTTTGTCTTAAATATAATATGAGTGGTGAAAACATGTAATAATAAATAGTAAGAAGAAATGCTGAATATTACTTGCAGCCTTCATGTGGATCATCTCATTGTACAAACGGATCACTCACAAGCACAATGCCAAGAGGATACAATCGCTACCCCCTCATTTTTATGTTACATAAATCATCTGAAATTGAGTTCTTAAAATATGCTAAAATTGATGATGTCGGGGGTTTTTGATAGAAACGTTATTAACAATTTAGTATGTTGTTAAATTTCTAATACACAATTTGCCAAGGAAGGAAATTTATAATGAAATACTCATTCTATATTAAAACCTTTTGATAATCTGAGAGTTAAATGACAGTTTCATCTATGTGGTAATTATATGCTTTTATTAATATGGTATGGAATGTTGAAGGCTGATATCCAAAGTCCTCTCAGTTATTTCATGGGATCTCAATTTCCAGAGTCTATTTCAAGATGCTAAAATACAAGAATTCAAAAGAGTCAATGCAGCACTTTTTGAAAAACCTAAACAAAGCTTCCTGCAGAAAAACTAAGAAAAACAGTCAAGTTCCTACCAAGCCTTCATTTCAGCAACAACAAAACAGGGCTAAAAAAAGCTGCAGAGCTCCACACTCCTTCTGTGCAGCCCGTGTTGGGCTTCTGGAAGAGCATTAAGGGGATGTCCATTGTTATATTTTTCCCAGGTTCAGCTACACTATATATATTTAGCCTCCAGCATCTCCCACACCAATCTACAGAACCTTCTCTAATGCAGACTGAAGTCGGAAGCAGCTCTGGATGCAATGGGTGACAATTTTGATGAATGAAAGGTGGTTTCCCAAGTATAGTGACAAAAAAAGGAACGTGAAATTTAAAAAAAAAAAAAAAAGTATTTTGACAGGAAAAGTCTAAAAGACATCAATAGCATTCTCAATAAAATGTTTTCATTTAGAAAAGATAATTACTGAACACTTCAACAAGAAAATGGAATATTGTATTGAGAAATCAGAGCAGCCAAGATAAACATCTGATCAAAACAAGCACTAAAAATTATTACAATTCCACTGTTGCCTACTGTGATATTTCTTCTCATTTAAGATCATGATAATTCCCAAAGCATGTTAAACTTCACACTTGAAAGTTGACAAAAAACTATTTTCCCATATTCCACGAGCAGCACATTTTCTTTCCAGCCACTTTGTTAAATCCATGCAATTTTCAGTTTAACAGATATGCCTAAAACTTCACTCCAAACAACTCCCAAAACTTTCTGCCTTTGTTCCTTTTTAAAAAGGAGGGAAGAAACTATTCCTTTTAATAAACAGGGAGATCAGATTCTGTGTCAATGGCCAACTAGTGCACCATCTGCCCCACAACATGCTCAGCAGGATTTCCCTCTAATAAGACTTTTCAGAAAATGGGATCAAAAAGAACTTTAGAAATCAGACTAAGGTTAGTAAAAGGTCAGAGAGAAATATTAAGAGTTAAACTACAATCATTATAAACTCAATGTTATGCATAAATTTGTAGATACAAAGAAGAAAAGACCAGAAAATTCAAGAACTAGGACTTGGATTAAGCTGTACTTCATTGGACAGTTTTGAAATATCCAGTACTTCATTTACTGTAATTAATAAAGCCAGAAAAAGGCCAAAGACCATCCTCAAGTCTGTTTCCACATATGAGTTGAGGGAAAGCATTTTTCATTTTCCGTACTTGTGGGAAAATAGTTTCCATCTACATTGAGGGCTGAGGAAAGCAGATATGCCTTCCTCTGTTTATTGAGGAGAACAGAATTCCCCAAATCCATTGATTACAATGTGGTATTTTTTTATGAAACAGGGTTGAATGCATAAAAACTGAGCCAGTCAGAAGCATTTATAAACTTAAAACCAAGCCACATGGCACTTACACACAGTTACACATCAGTGAGGGTTTAAGGGTGAAGAACTTGGATAACAACTCACTACTCGAGAAATGTCCTGCTCTTCCTTCTTACCTTATCTGAAGATTTTTCTGCATGACTAAGGTTGTAAGGGCCCATGCCATGCTTACAGGAGCCAGAATGTTTGTATCCAGAATTCTTATTTCTTTTTGACTCTTGAGGTACAGGAAGTAGAGCATCTGCCACTAAGTATTCTGAATCTTCAATAGCAGTAAGAATTGCTCTCGCTGTTTCACCTGTTTCATGGCGTTCCAGTGTGCCTGGAGAAACACAACACAGGCTGTAGCTTTTTCCAGGAGCTAAAATATTCCATATCTCTGTGGAAGAATCATTGTATTAATGTAGTATACTTTATGTGAGCAAATAAATCACGAAACGTTTAGAGATGAGGCAATTAATTTCTCATTTTTTGGAAATTAAAATATAATTTTGCACAAGGGTCTATTCAACAGTATTGCTATTTAAAAAAAAAAAAAAAAAAAAAAGGTTAGTGTCTAAAGAAATCACTGTAACAAAACTTTGCTTCAGATCAAAAGCAACTCCAGATATTTTATGTGTGAAGTGAGATGCAGTTTTCACAAGGAGCCAAGAATATTCACAGAAATACTAGTTGCCCAAACTGTTCAAAAGAGTAATTTGTTTTCTTCTCACGAAGCCCTCTCAGAGCACCTATATTATTAACAATGTAAACAATAACACATTTATGTAATATTTTAGTGCTGTCCTCTAGTGTCCTAGATTACAAACAGCAAGGGAAAGCTCAGTTTTTTCATTCCATTCCTAAAAGTGTCAGACGTAAATATGGTTTATAAACACCTGGATATACATGAAGCTCAGTCAGCAGGGATTTGAATGCAGTGTTTCAGAGACTGTATCATCACTTGTGTGGCTTTAGGGAATCCGAGTCCTCCAGCTGTTATACCCAGTTATATTATTTTAGTAAAAACTTATTTAGAAATAGTTTTAGAAATAGTACTTTATTTGTAATTCATATTAAAGATATTTAAACTGAGATTAAATGTCTTTGAAATGAGCTACTATTATATACTGCATATTTCCTACAGGAATTAAAAGAAATTGCTGAAATAGCATGTTTCCTATAAATATCAGAGATAAAGTACATCTGAAGGATTTTTCAAGTATTAAATATCAGCTATAACATGAAATGTTTTTCCCTTAAGTTTGAATTCTTTCTACCCTCAAGTAATACAACATGAATTTTCCCTTTCACTGCTACAAGAAAAAAAAATGTGTAACACTAAAGTTCTATCAGTAACACCTGCTAAAAATATTGGACTGGGATTGAGGGATCTCATACAATAAGTGTTTGTGTGTATATGTGTGTATAAAATCTCTTTATCTGAAATTATTTCTCTGAAACTCATCCATTTCTGTTCACTGTAGCATCACCTCTGTTACCCATATGACAAAGAGTCTTTGAATTCAGTGCAGGAAAAAAAAAAAAGGCAACTGATTATTTGTCTCCTTCAAAAATCAGTTGAATACCATACATTGCTGTGATATTACACTGAAAAAAACCATAAGGATCAGCCATTGTTTTTCTTAAATTTTCTTAATTTTCTTAATCCCTCCCCAGCACTTGCAGCCAGAGTGAAAGACCATTACAGAACTGGATATCTACTGAAAGGAAAGTAAGTTGCCCAAAGATCTTCGCAGCTCGACTTTCTACAAATACTTGGAAAAACAACACTGGTCATAAAGATCCCAACTTTGCAACACTTCAGTATTTCAGGAACACAAGGACTCTTAGTGGATGTCTACAGAGGAGGATTACACAGTTCACACTAGAGACAAGCAAACACATTCTTAAAAGTATTGTAGAGTTTGAAAAGTTAGGAAGTTTGGAAATAATACAGTTACATTTCCCTGTGAAATTACTAGGTATCCTACTATTTTTATGGACAAGGATCTAGGTAGAAATTGCAATGAATTTTTGATAAATCCAAAGATTTTGGGGAGATGGTGTTAAATTCCAAAGACCTGAGTATACACACTCTTTTAGTTCACTCTCTTTAGAGAGAACTTCGCAACAGGTTTTGTGAGCTCCAGGTGCATGAGTGCCTCACCAGCCCTCAGTCAGCCTCACAGTCCCTCAGTCAGACCATTCTGGAGGAGAATCTTGTGGATGTGTAAGAATCTGTTTCCAACAAAAAGGAAGATTTGAGTTGTCTGACTTTTTATCCTCCTGTGTGTACATATACACAAAGGAGTAAAAATTAAAATATACTTAAGACTTGTGTTATTTTCCACATATCAGAGCTTTTCCCTGGCAACAGTTTCAGAGCCAAATTCTCACCTCCTGGTGGAAGAAAAAGAATTTAACTGACAGAATAAGAGACAGACCAGAGTAAATGGTAAGTTATTGAAAAAAAGGACATCAGAGTTCCACCTTCAAAGACAAGGGTCTGAATGGAATATACACGTATTCTTGATGTACATGAAAGCAAATTGATATTTTATGTATTTTACACACACATACATATATCTTATTTAAACAGCTGACAGATCTGCTTCTATATATTATAGAATTACGCAAACTGAGAAACCACCAAGCAGGTGATTGGGTTACTGAACACTTCTACTACCCAACTCTTTTCTAACTGTCAATAGTGGGACGATGCCATTGCAATACCATTTTTTATGAGTAGTCTGGAGAAAATTAACATCAACTGAAAAATCCCTTTTAGGTTCATACTTGGCCTCTCACATAGAGGAGTTACAATCAGTTTGGGGTGGTTTTTTTCTTTTCTTTTTTTTTTTTTTGGTTTTTTGGGGTTTTTTTGTAAATTTTATTTTATTTTTCAATTTAATTTAACTTTTAAATTTTTTTTTTTAACACATATTTAAAGAGAGAAACATTAATAGAAACTGCCCTAGACAACCAATTTGGTTTCTTACTGACCATTATGATATCATTATGTTATCATAAGTGATAACATTGACATCATTAAATCAATTTGAAAAACTCAGATTTACATCTTTAAATAATTTATATATCATTCATAACAGCTATTTCAAATCCCTTTTAAGGAGTACCTTCCAAAAGATGGTCACTCTCTTAAAATACCATGCATATACATGCAAATAATGCCTAATCATGTTCTCTATATATGTGGATATATTTGTAGAGGTTTGTTTGTAAAGCTGGACCTGCAATAAAATGGCACCAAGTGCATAACAAAATGTGTATGAAGGGAGTGGATGATCATGAAAGTATTATAAAGTATTTATATTATAATTATTCTAAAGAGCCCCAAATGCTCATTTACAAAATGAGTAGGTGGTAGGGCCAAAATAAAAGAAGACCCCTGGATTCTGTGATTCCTGAATACATCTGTCAGAAACACAAAAGGGAGGTGGGTGAGGGGGAAGGAATTAGAAGCCTGTGTATATGACAAGGACTTTCTGAGCACTGTAAACAGTCAGAAGAATACTGAGGCACAGCTGCTGTTGTTCAGAAACAGTTATTTGTTTGGAATATGTTGTCTTTGATTTTAAGGGAAAATAATTAAGAGTAAGAAAAAACAAAGCCTGTACATGAGAGTACAGGAAAGGGAACAGAAATAAAGACAACTCTCAAACCTCAAGTATTTTAAACATAAATGAGCCTGAAAGATCTCAGTTGGGGAGTACAAAAGAACAATGGATGAACGAGAAAAGATAGGGTGTCTGTACAGCAGCATCACCACTGCTCTGACCCCCTACTATACATACAAAATACAGGAAAAGAAAGTCTTTATCTCTAAAGCTGTGACCATGGCAACCAAGTCTCAGGAACACACAAGACTGGAGTATTTCACTCTCCTTGGACCACCAGATGTGACTGTTTAGAGACTGTTACAACATCTTATTCTTCCTCTGGACCAAGTAGTACAAATTGTGTCTCTTGGTGTTAGTGCTGTCCACACAGTTCTCTGGGTTCTGCTCCCACCGAATGATGCATTTTTACTGGGGAGGTCACGCATATTTTCCTGCCTCGAGACGAGGAATTCACTGCCATCACATGGCCTGTCATATCATCAGGCTCCAGTGCTTTCTGTTTGCTGTCACAGCAAAAGGATCAAAAATCCTCAGTATTTCTGGGCTGCTGTGACCCAGTAACAGCTGAATCTTACAGCATAACAGTGATCTGGGAATGAGAAATTATTTCAGAATTGATTTTATTTTAAAAGAACACATGATTGAGAACAAATCCTTCTCTTTACTAGCAGCCAAAACAGAAAACTCACCTTTCAGAACAAGTAACATCAGTAACACTAGTTGGTCTATTTTCTGTTAAGATCTTCCTTTCTATAAATACTTATTTAATCTGAAAAAACCCTTCCACACTCCTCCTTCTCTGCTGTTAGAGTGAGGCATACAGAAATTTCATGTTCCTTGCTAAAAAAATGCTTGAATTTTACAATTCTGCAGTCTTACTCCAAGACAGTGGACAAGCACTTTACTTGAAAAATTTCTCCTAATTGTTAGTGCTACCACTCTAAAATCAACTGGTCCAAAACAGATGGAACAAACATTGCATTAAGTAATAATATATATTCTAACCAATATCAAGACAATAGTAAATGCCAGCTAGCAAATACAAATGGGATAGATTGCACAAAAAGCAGCCTATTAAAAGCTAATATTTATGTATAGGAATAGATTAACGATGGAGATGCCCTGTGACTACAGCTCTGTATACAGGAGCACACAGAGTGTCTGGGCAGACCCTCCTCACTGATTTTTGCGTTTGGAAGATTTCTGTCATGTCCAAGTCTGTTACTGACATTCTTCAGAATACACACTTTCAGAAGAGCATTAGCAAACTACTGTCAGAATATCCTTCAGCTGAAGAAAGCAATGAAGAACAACACAAAGAAAACAACCAAAATATAATTTATAGTGTTGGTTTATATATGTAGGTAAAAAGAGCAATTTCCCCATGCAACCAGTCCTCATTTCAGGATTTCTGATGCAGGCACAACACCCCAGAAGAAAGGACATGAAAACTCCCCTGTTCTCTCCCTGACTCTGTCTAAACTATTCCAAACAGTAAAGAACAATAATCCTGTAAGCAGGAATTGCTGAGACACTGTAAATGTGCTAAACTGGGCTGAATGGAAGGTGCTGCATCTGAATTTGGATGATACGTGAGCAGCTTCTATCTATTCCTTTTTTAAAAGTCTGAAACATAGAATGAGAACCTGTCCCTTAGTGTCTGCAATGAAAACCCTCCCTGGTACAAACTCTTCTGACT